AGACAACCCCGTGACAATATGCGTTTTGTACTGCTGTTACACAGCACAAAACGCATAATAAAATCAAATTCATTAGAAATTTGAAATTATGTAATTACTGTGCAAATTTAAATTATGTAATTACCCAACCTTCCCTCTACTGCACACAGTGCTCTTCCCCACCTACGCAGCCCATATATACAGCTCGAAGACGTTTAGAAGCGATGCAGACGCGAATTTCATCGAAATGCCGTCTGATTTCGAAACAGGAGGTAACACATCGGTGCAATATTGTTATTGGGGCAGGAACAATGAGTCATATTCTAGTACGAATTGAGGGAGGAAGGGCAGGAGGCCATGCTTCCCAAACACACACTACTCAGTTCGGCATTCTCACTCACTGCTACGGAGTGATTGTTCACTCATGCGTTCCGGACTGCCAGCCTCAAAAGAGTACTGGAGAAAATGCGCCCTGCACAATCATAACATACCACTGCTGTGCTGCAAAACATCAAAACGAGCAGCCAGAAGAAGCACGCGATGCACTACTCGGCTGCTGTGTGAGCGCTAAAAGTCATGAAAGATTCGAATAATTCGAAAAAGAAGCGCAACTTCCGCGATTTCACTGCACCATGAGTTCCAAAATTCTCACAATCTAGAAAGAAAACTGCTCGGCACACTGCTTCCCAAATGCCTGCTCTTAATCATCCGTTGTGCGGGTTTCCCTTCATTCCTGCTACCTCTCTTGCGCCTCTCCATTTCCATCGACTTCCTTCTTTTCCTGATAAAATCCTTGGTATATTCAGAAACTGCCCACACTGATTAATCTAATGTCCTCAGCTACTTCACTTTAATTAAATCCCAACATAAAATTCATTTTAGTGAGTGGTGGAGAGTGGCTTTTGAGATAAAAAAGAAGGGGGATGAAGCCCGGAAACACCCAGATTATGACGGAATGCAGAAATCCGGTTACCACTACCGACGCAGTCCAGCAGAGTGCGCAACAATCGGAAGAGTTCATGGGCATAGCTCCACTGGAAGTAGCTAGGAAGAGGACCGGATCGAGGGCCGGGCCAGGACCCTGTGCACCGGGATACAACGTACTGCGACAAAGCCGACTTGGTACTGTAGCACGAATCCATCTCGCTCCAGTCTCGAGACTCGATCGCATCACTGACGATTAATGAAGGAAGCGAAACGCAAAACAAATGAGCGTACCGAGAACGCCCAGTATCTGCTCCTCAAGAGTTCTACAATCTCTGTTTTTGGAGCGGGAGCCAGACAAGAGCCGCGAAGAGTCCACCTCGACAATAGCGAGCCAAAAAAAGCTGCATCACTCGCGAAGACCAATTCCACCATGTATAGATGAAGTTGAGCACATACATGGAGAACAGGTGGTGGGTACTAACTAAAAGCATGCAACTCGGAACCGAGGCGCCTGGCATAGTTGCGCCCAACGTGTGGCGGAAACATTCTGGCAACACCGCTAACATGGGAATCCATCACTGTAGTCTGAATGGTCTTAGTATTCCTAGTCGATGAGGGACACCGCTGGCACTCCAGATTATATTAGTTTTGGGCACGTGCGAAGGAATGGACGACGGAAGTGCAGTGCGTTGGAAGGCAAAAGCAGCAGCAGCAGGAGCAGACACAGTGCATCCGGAGGAATGCATTCGCCCACGATATAATGGCTTGTGAAGGAATCTCCCTTCGGTGCTGGCTCTTTTAAGCTGCCTCAAAACACAACATCCGAAGGCCTACCCGAGAAACATTCCATTCGCCGTTCACTTGCCCTTCAATTATGGCCCTCACAGCCTGCCCCGTCTCTCTCGGGCATTACACTTCAGGTACCGAGGCCAACCTCTCTTTCGCAGACAGACTGGCAGACTGATAGGACACAAGCACAGAGCCATTTTTAGTGCAATTTTCAGTCGTCCTGCACAAGACACATGGTCTGAGAAGGAGTCTGCTAACATTTTTGAACATTAAAATTAAGTGCGTCATCAGCTCGTGTCTCTTCGACCGTTCGTAGAAACCATGAGAACTTGATTCACTGCACTAAATAATCTGAGCAACTCACTGATTGACCGGGCTTAGTGAAATAAACTGCAGAGATGAACTACTCATAGAAAAGCCCCCAAGATCGCTCGAGCTATCACTGTGGATATCCTTCGTTAGTGATGTTACTAGGATGATTCCACACGCCGAGTGCAGCCATGCTAGGCTCTTTGACTTTGGGCTGCATGCTTCCATTTAGTACCCACCGCTGTTCTATTTTTGCTGCACCACTTCTTCAGGAGTCGCCCAAGTGGTCGCTCACTTTCCTGCGAACACCAGTTACTAATGCGCACTGTCCATCAATAAGGCGAGCAACATGTCCTGTCCATTGGATTTAATTTCCTCGCGTAGACGCTATGGTATCCGGAGCACGGCTCTTCTGACGGAGAATCAGTGATTGTTTATATGGTAGCAAAGAGATTTGTCAGGCATCCTTCACTCCACTGCTTCCTCTGTCAGTGACCGCGCTCGCTCTTCAGCTTTTTGAGTGACACATTTCGCATTCGTACGTCATTGCCTTCAACACTGCGGTATTGAACAAGTAGGCATGGTCCTTCAGATTCGGTATTTTAATGACAGCAATAAATAATAACAGTAAGTAAGGCTGCCAAGAGCGTGCGCTATTGGATTTAATGTTAGGTATGTTATATTTGCTAGCAATAATAGTAGAAATAATTGCGAAATTATGAAACACGAAAACGGAAAAACAGCGACATAACTTGTCCCTCCAAACTGCCCTTTTCGCGTATCCTCATGCATTATGGGCTATGAAAAGAGATCAACAATACTGGGCCACTTCACCTTAAAACAAAAGGCTACAAAAACGATTAACAGAAACCAGTGAAACCTAAACGTGGATGTGAGTGCATCAAATCCAAGACAGAAGTTAAAGCAACGGTAGAGCACCGAGAAACGTGGCACGCGCTTCCCTCCTTTCACACCCACCTCTTATGCGCTCTACGCATTCGAGAACAAAACGAAAGAGTCTAGAAAATGATTATAAAAAAGGAATTTTGCTGGAGGGGATGCTCAAATGCAGGATCGATTTGTGGATCGTGGAACGATGAAGAAGCAAGAGACATAGATGGGCCTAGTGCCACCGCCACCGATGGTGAAATGTATTTCCAGGCTCCCGATTGCTGACGCTGCTATGACAACGAGACACACCACCATTACAAGGAAGCACGCATCAGCCAACACAACCCCGACCAACAGCGCCTCTCCATGGACCGCACGTTTTTGAATCCATCAAAAAAGCACTTCAGCAACAGCATGTTTTTGCAAGTTATGGTTTAAAGATATAATTAAAGAATTAAAAGTATTATATTAAAATTTAAGAAAACAGCATTGAACTGTAATTAATCAGCTGAAAAGGAATGTTTTGGTCCTGAAAATCGTACGCATTCCTGCCAAGCACCAAAACTGGACCTCGTCAGTATGACAGTTTTCACTTCAGTAAGTCCGTGATTTAAGTCAGAAACTGCGAACGCAAGGCTGCTGCAATTCCCGGAATCCTTGACATGTGCGAAGCCGGAAACCTACACAAACTTCTACATCTGTTTGTGACCTCAAACCAAGTTCTGATTATACTGCGACTCCAAAGTAGGAAAACGGAAAAGTTAGAATTTTGAGGCCCTAATGCACCGGCGAATGTGCCTTAGCTAGAATCAGAAAAGAAGTGTCAGTTCAGACACGAGAAACGTCAGGCTCAAATTCAGTCTAGTACTTAGCAACAGTGACTTTTTTTTCTCATTTCGACCCCTCTTAGCAAGCTTGCAGTTAAATCCCTTTTCTTC